CCCAGGAAAGGGACTACTGGGTGAAAAGATGCACATGTAAAATGTTGATAGCTATAAAAATGAATGAAATACTGCCATTTGCAACAACATGGATGGACCTTGAGAGAATTATATTAAGTGAAACGAGTCAGGCACAGAAAGAGAAATACCACATGTTCTCACTTATTGGTGGGAGCTAAAAATTAATAAATAAATTCACACACACACACACACAAAACCGGGGGGGCGGGGGGAAGAAGATATAACAACTACAATTACTTGAAGTTGATACGACAAGCAAACAGAAAGGACATTGTTGGGTGGGAGGGAGGAGAGGGAGAAGGTAGGGAGGTTTTGGTAAGGGGCAACAATAATCAACCACAATGTATATCGACAAAATAAAAAAAAAAACAAAACCATTTTTACCGCAAAACAAACACACACAAAAAGGACACAAGGAAACTTTTGGAGGTGATAGATACATTCATCTCCTTGAATATGGTGATGGTGTCACAGTTGTGTGCATATGCCCAACTCATCAAATTGATTACATTTAGACATGTATGGATTTTTTGCATATAAGTAATACCTCAATAAAGCTATTTACAAAAGAAAAATAATAAATAATTAAAAAAAAAATAAAGGCAAAGGCACATTTGTTACCAGATTACGGAACACAGAGTACGAAACGCAGTTTTTTCAGACTGGAGTGCGTGTTCGCCATTGTGCTTGGGCAGGTCATTATTAACACAACTGATCTATAATTAGTGTATTATTCACCAATTTTCACTAATATGCAAATAAGTGCCTCTATTTCCTTAAGAGTCCTTGAGAATAGAGTCATCTCTTTGCAAACTCTGCACTCTGCACAGGTGTACTGTTTCAAGGGAGTGTGGCCCCGTCTTTTCAATTCATTACAGATTCTTGTGTTGAGAAAGTGGAAATGATGACTCTATTTAATTCAATGTTTTGAACTTGATTAAATTAAGTTTATATTACATTTGATCGGATTCAATAGGGCCTTTTTTTTTTCCCCCTTTTTTTGTCTTTTTTTTACTGACCGGTAACGGGATCACAACCCTCGGTGTCGCGCCCGTACCGGGGACCAGCAACGGGATCGCAACCCTTGGTGTTGCGCCCGCACCACGCTCAGCCAGTGAGCGGGAACCGGTCTCCCCATGGGATCCAAACCCTCGGCGGGAGCGCCGCCGCACTCTCAAGCGGCGCACTCTCCAGTGCGCCACCGGGCCGGCTCTCAATAGGGCCTTTAATATGCCTAATGTTGTTTCACTTGACCTGTTCTTCTGGGTGAAAGATT